GTGTACGGATTGCTAAATGGATAACTGATCTACTCTGTAAACCTCCAGCTAATTGACAATAAAAAGGAAAAAGAAAAGAACCTGTAATCAAGGGATCAATTTGGAAAAAACACACCAAATGATTTTGGAATTAAATTCAAAGGAGTTCACATCTCTAAGTCTTCTTTTTCTAATTCAACAATTTGATGTTCCATGAATGCTGTATATATGGAACTGTTAGTATTTTATATATACATACACACACACCTCATATGTGTTTGTAGCAATGAAGGAGTAAAATATGAAAGGACGTCAAAAAAATTTGTGGAAAAATTCCATTATCTTTTCATTCCATTTTCCTACAAGGTTTTTGAAGCCCCACTGTGTATTTCTAAAATCCTTTAATAAGGAGTTTGCATTCATAGTTTTAATTAATTAATTTATTTGGCAAGGGACTAGAGCACACCCTACTGGCCAACTCATGGGAAATTGCAGCATTTACTTAAGAGAAAGTGTAATGTGTAAATTTGAAGGAAGTATCAGATGGATTAAAAGACGCTTGAAAAATGTCTTGTAAATATCTACATACATATACATATACAAATACAAATATCTGCTGTATTTGTATATGTACATATGTATGTAGATAAATACAAATACTGTCTTGTCTACAAAATATTTAAATTGTCTACAAGTCACTTAAAATGTTCTAACGCTTGTAAGTTCTCTAGAAATGGGAGAACTAGTTATACTATCAACAGCACCAAATGTTCTTAAAGGGAACATTAGGTAAATGAAACGTGGCTCAATTAAAAATAAGCAAACAAATAACCTGGAAAACACATACTAAGAAAAAGCAGTTAGTCCCTGGCCCTAACACTCAGAATAGACTGATCAATTAAAGCCAGCCACTCAGTCTTTTCACAAGGTGAAGTATACCACATACACAAATACGTTTTGAAGTTTTGTCTTAGGAGGAAAGAGAGTAGGATCTTTAATTACCTGAGGGGAAAACTGGAAAGAAATATTTTCTGTGCTACTTTTCAAATGATTGCAAAGACTGAAACCTCAATTGAGAAGCTCTTTATTGTGATATGCTACTCCCCATCATAGAGTCCTGGTGTGGTGCTGTGGATTAATGCGCCAGACTGCAAAGCTGTTTGAACTGCAAAGTCGGCAGTTCAAGCTCACCAGCTGCTCCTTGGAAACCCTATACAGGGTCGCTATGGGTCGGAATCGACTCGACGGCACTTAACAACAACAATACTCCTCATCATGATGTCAGGGGTCTTGGCACTGAACCATAAGCACAGGACTGCAAGGTCGGTTTGAGCCACAAGGTCAGAGGTTCAAAGTCACCTATCGATCCACTGGGTTGCTATGAGTCAGAATCGACTCAACAGCACTTAACAACAACAATCAGTATAAAAAAAGGAGTCCTGGTAGTGTAGTGAATTACAAGCTGGACTGCTAACCACAAGGTCAACAGTTCGAATCTGCCATTTGCTCCAGGAAAAAAAGAGGCGACTTTCTATTCCCGAAAAGATTTACAGTCTCAGAAACCCTATACATGGCCACTGTGAATCAGAACTCAAGGAATATAACTACCACTACCCATCAGCATTATGCTTTAAATATTCTACAAAGAGTAGAATATATACATTCTTTATCATTTCATGTTTTGTTTGTATTATATTTCACAAACTTCTATGTACACATTATATACATACATACATACTAGCATTCAACAGCAGCACCATACCAGGACTCCAAATAATGCCAGTTAAAGTGCTGGACTGCAAGGCCAGTTTGAACCTCGAGGTCGACGGTTCAAGCTCACCAGTCGCTCCTCAGAAACTCTATACAGGGTCCTATGAGTCGGAACTGACTTGATGGCACTTAACAACATTTATATACATAGAGAGAGAGAGAGTGAATCCTGGTGGGGTGCTGTGAGCTAATGCAGACTGCAAAGTCATTTGAACCACAAGGACGGTAGCTCAAGCTCACCAGGGGTGCTCCTTGGAAACTCTATATAGGATCCCTATGGGTCAGAACCAACTCGACAGCACTTAACAACAACTCTACAAATTAGCTTTTTAAAAAACCAAACTGCATGAGATACATTTCTATTGTGTACAGACAGAAATAAAGTTAAAAGTTCTAGGACTTAAGATGGTAATAAAAAAAATGTGTCACTTTAAAATACTTCTTAATGAGCAGAAGAAAACCCAAGAACATCTACAATCAAGAATAAACATCAACATATGTGTATTCTACCACAAGATTCAATTAATTGGAAGGATGATAAAGGACCTGCACAGCACATTTACACAAACGATCTTGTGGGTATAACTTCAGAGCAAAGAAAAGAGCAATGTCTTCAGAAACACAGTGTCTGTGATCCTAAGACTTCTGAGCCAGAACCTCATCCTTGTTCTCACTCCAAGGACAGCTTCTTCTTACATTGAAAGCAGGGCAAGTGTGCAAAAGTGACAATGTGGGTCAGTATTGCATAAATCTAAAGTTTGAGATGCTACTTTTAGGTTTTGTACATTAAATAATCAGTTGATACAATTTCCTTGGGAAATGGCCTCAAAATTTAAATAGACTGTGAGATCTATAAAATACATGGTTTGATTTTAAATTCATTTCTTCCTGGAGGCAATTTTAAATAAGTTATGTTCAGTCAAAAGAGAACATCACCCCAGAACCTCTAGTCAAATCTATTAAAGGACCATGAAAGATCACTTGTAATACAAACATTACTTCAATTTGTTGTTTTCCTTTTTAAACTCTTTCCAAAATAGTCTACAATATCATGGCCTTATCAATGTTATGGCAAAATATTATAAATAGACCACTTAAACAGATATTTGTGGGATGTAAGTATTCTCATGTAATTTGTTCAGAGCTGAGAAAAACACTGTATATGAAAATAATTTTAAGTCATTAGCTATAACTGCTTTAAAAAAAATCAAGTTTATAAGATTTGAAGAAAAACATTGCATTAATTATGTATTACTTATGTGATTTTATAACTTTCGACACTTTACCAAAACTTTAGCACATCTTACAGCTCATTATATTGTGAGTATCCTTTTGATCTTCTCTCTCTAAAGAAAGGATGTATTTGATTGTTGCTCTAGTGATTATCACTGTTTTATGAATAGGGGGATGTAAAATCATGCCAACAAGGCCAAAGCACAAATTACAACCCTATTGTAGTGACTTAAAATAGTGTAACCATGGTTCCTTTTTGATGAAACTTGAGCTCATCTATGTCCCCATTCAGTAAATGGTGTACTGTGAGGTCTAAAAAGATGTTCTGTGGCAAGTTCTCAGGCTGATCCATTTTGACTCTGATAAAAGCCTAAGGGTAAGCCGTAAACAAAAAGGAAACAAAAGTTTCTTTAATGGAATGAAACCAAAATGACGTGTGGGGGGAAGGGAGGGAATAAAAATTTTTTTAAACCCAATGAATTTGCTAAGAAATCCAGCAATTCCTTGTGAGTACTTCCTATCATCTTAAAGCTACTTTACGTGTGTCTGGCAATAAGTAAGACTATAAGTTAACAGAATGATGCAGTAATTGAACTGTTGGTAAGCATTAAAGCATGACAATGACTCAGTAGCCCCTTGAGGCCAGAAGGAGCCCATCTGAGCCGAGGGTAAGTGTTTTTCCTGCTAAACATTTGTTTGTATTGCCACTCAGAGAGGACAAAGGGATACTTCAGAGGGTGTGTGTGTGTGTGTGTGTGTGTGTGTGTGTGTGTTTTCTCTGGAGACCTTGAATTCAAATTTAGGCCTTTTAATTAAGTTTAAAAGAGTGGAGTAAATAATGGGGGTGGGGGGATGGATAAATCATTTCATGGGGTGCAAAGTTAAAGGTTAACCTGACAGTAAGGTGGGAATCTCGTTCCCCACGTTCACCTAGCACAATGAGGGGGTGCCCAATGAGGGGGTGCGCACTAAGAATGCGGCGGGGTTTGCACAAGGACCAAGGTGGGGGGTGGACTCCCTGGGGTCGGAAGAGGTCAGCGGGAGGCCCTGACCTCGGCTCAATGGAGAGAGCCCGGGCAGGGAATTTGTTCTGGCTAAAACTGGAGGGTTTCTGTCTGTTTGCTTTTTTTCTTACTTTGGTTACTCTTGGTTTGTTATCATTTCTATTATTTATTTTACGGTTAAACTATAAGCCTACGTTGCATCACCGGTGGCCTGAGAGTCTCTTCTAAGGCTGGCGGGCGTTTCGTCCTCGGGCATCAATGGCTCCCTTATGGCGAGTAACCAAAAGCCCCGGAGGCGGCCGCCAATAGGGGTCCGAAAGGGGACACAAAGGGCAGCGGAGGTGGGGCGGAGGCTGCCCCTTCTGGAAGCCCATGCAAGGGCCACCAGGTGGAACGCGAGCTGAGGCCTGGCCTCGCCGGATTCAGAACCAGAACAGGCCCAGCAAGCCCACCATCCCGGGCCCTGATGGTGCCTCCCGCAAGGCTTCGTCTTGAACACTGGGCTGGGAGGCTCCACTCGCTTTCTTGGCGCTTCCGCCGCATACCCAGAGGAGGTGGCTCAAGCACGGGGGGGAAAACACCCCAAAGTCCTCCCTGGGGCGGGAAATTGGGGGAAATTCCGCGCATGGCGCCGCCTTTGGTTTGAGCAGGAACCACAGCCAAGACTGGGCTGGCTGCATGTTTCTCAGGAAACTTGTGTAAAGGGTTTCCCCAGGGCTAAGCAGGAATCGTTCGGGTTCAGCGGAGGTGAGACTCAGATGCCTCATTCAGTCCGATAACATTTTTCCAAAGAGAGGCTGCTTCCCCTCAGCTCCCGCGCGACGCCCCAATGGGCCCCAAGCAAACGCCTCAGCCGTGGCATCGCCCCTTTAAGCAGCTCGAGTACAGGACTGGCTGCGCGGGGGAGGTGAGGCGGTGAGTGGCGACGTCACAGATCCACCCACATGCTATATAGAGGCGGTGGCGACGGCGGCCGAATGTGAGGCAGTAGCTGCGAACGGGAGATTGAACAAGGCGGGAGGCGAGGCGCCTGCGCGATGTCCGGGCCCCTGAGCCCGCGGCGCTGAGCCAGCCGGGACGGACATGCGCGGCAGGGCGCCGTGGGGCAGCCGCGCTCCGCCGGGGTAAGGGGTCTGGCGGGACGAGAGGGAGCGGGGAGGGAGACGCGGAAGAGCGCCGGGTCGGAACCCCCTGCGGTGGGTGCTGAGATCTAGGCGCCGTAGGGCGGCCGCGGGATGAGAGTGGGCCTGCGGGGAGAGGTTCGCCGCGACGCCGAGGCTCTTCGGGGACGGATGGATGGACGGAGGGGAGGAAGGGACTGGCCCGCGCTGGCGGCGCTTCTCCTGGTGCCGGGCCCTGGGGGGGCGATGCCGGCCGGCGTGCGGGGGAGCGCCCGGCGCCTGCCTGTTCTCATCCCTCCTGCTGTGGTCGTCTCTCCAGGGCCGTGCACCCGGGCTCCCCGGGCCGGCTTGCAGAGAGGGACCGAGTTGGGAGGCTACCTCGGGGTCCTGGCCCCGGAGGCTGTCTCGCGGGGCTATTGGACCGGCGATGGCCAGCTTTGTGTCGTTGCCTCCCCTTTAAAAAAAAAGGGGGGGGGGTGCGTTATCCTGTTGCACACTGTCTGCCCCTAAATCCTGCCCTGTAAATTGGGGTGGGGGGGGCCGAGGTTCGCTCAGAATCACTGTCTGCCGTTGGTACCAGTTCTGATTCACGGTCAACCTGCTCAGTTCCTCTGCTTTAATTCGCAGCCGCCACAGTATTTCCGAGTCCGTATTTTTTAATTCATCCGAGTGGTTCAGTACCCTTTTCTCCCTCCCCACCCCCCCAACCCCCATAGCCTCCGTGAGACGAATGCTTGGTGGCTCAGAAAGCCCTAAATACTGGTTTAAAAAGGAATGGAACTGCAGAGGATGTATTTATTCAAAACGTGAACGTTTATTGGGTACTTCTCGTGTATGTATGTGATATATATATATATATATATATCACAGCTTTGTACAAATTAGATGACTCCTTAACCATGATTGGTGTTGTATTGGTGCTTGCTAAGTCTTTATTAGGATTTCATCATTGCTTGAAAGAAACCAGCCTCTTGCCTGATAAAAATATGAATAGATTGTTAGTCATAAACTTAAGTGCAGTCCGAACAGAGACTGTAGCTTTAAAAGAGATGTGTTGGTGACTTTAGATACACCTGCAACACAGGTAGGGCAGGACTGGTTTCTAGGCAACTGTCAGGGGTGAAGAAAGGTGAGGTTTAAATGCTTTTTTTCCCCTCTCTGTCTCCCCTACTGGAGAACAAGTGTTCTGCTAAGTTTTGAGTTTTATAAATCTGCTCTAAGAATGCAGTGGATCTAAATTTGTTAAGAACAGTGAAACATCTAAGGTCACCATATTTAGTCTTTTAAAACAGAACAGACCAAAAAAGCATTTCATTTTCTTTCTTTCTTTTTAAACACTTCTGTAAATATGCAATTTTAAGGCTAGGTACCATATTTATGGACTCTTGGTGTGGCGCTATAGGATCAGCACTGGACTCTGAACCACAGGGTCGGCAGTTGAAATTCATCAGCTGCTCCTCGGAAACCCTATACCAGGGTTGCTATGAATTGGAAGGGATAGTATAGTAAATTAACAAATTTTGCTAGGACCAAAATTAAAAGAAGCTGGTGACTTGTTATCATGCTGTGCCTGGTTGATGTTGTTAGATGCCATTTAGAGCCATTCTCTGTACTACAGGACAAAACCCCGTGTGGTCCTGCACTGCCTTCACATACTAACAACCATTTTGCCAGTCTAGCTTGTTGAGGGTCTAACTCTTTCATGGATCCTTAACATGTTACCATTGTGTTACCTACCAAGTTGTTTCTCAGGTATTAACAAATTTGAAGAGAAATATGTATGAGACTTAAAGTACTATTTTGTCACTTTTCCCCTCACTTAATACAGAGAGAGGTTTCTTTTCAGCTGTGTGTTTTTATGAACACTAGCTAATAGAGATGATAGGAGTCTTGGACTAATAATTTATAACCCAACAGATAATTCAGTTGCAAACTCCGTAAGGGCAGAAACTATGCTTTGTGCAGCTACTGTGTCCTATACCCTTAATGTAGTTGATGGTTGCTAAATAATTTCACGAAAGCACATTTTACATTGTAAGGCTCTGCAGAAATTGGACCAGTCACCCCATTTTTTTAGGGCTCTTAGGACATACCTGAGTTATTCATATTTTTTGACAGATGAAATTCCTGTCTGATGAATTGTTTTTCCTGCTTTTAATTCACAATAGATACTAGTCACTTTTTTGTTGTTAAGTGCCGTTGAGTCAAGTCCAACCCATAGCAACCCTGTATAGAGTTTCCGAGGAGCAGCTGGTGAGCTTGAACCACTGACCCTGCAGTTCAAATGACTGCAGTCTGTGCATTAACCCACAGCACCACACCAGAACTTGGAAACTCTATACAGGGTCACTATGGGTCAGAACTGACTTGATGGCACATAACAACAACAGCAACAATTATACTTTGTGGCACTATGGAATAAAGCACTAGACTGCAAGGTTGGTTTGCACTGTAAGGTCCAGGGTTCAAATTCACCAGCCGCTCCTTGGAAACCCTGTACAGGATCGCTATGGGTCAGAACCGACTTGATGACACTTAACAACAACAACAATTATATTGTAGACTTGCGAGTTTTTGTGCAGCTTCTCAGAAATGGAACCAGATAGTATTTCCTTTCTATTAATATTAATGGTAGCTTTTAAAAGCTAGTTGCCCAAATTATAGGTACAATCTAACATACTTGAAACTGACCTGAATGTCTACATACCATCAGGTTGCTTTAGAAAGGTGAGCAGAGGAGGGGAAAGGTGGTGCCGAGGGTAATTCCAGGAATTTAAATGTCATTGGTTCCCTCTACTAGAGAAACAATTGTACTCTTAATCTAAATAAGTTTGAATCAGTACCTCATCATCAGGCTTCACTTAGCATCTTTTGGTGCTGGTGTTTGACCATGCTTTCATAAAAGACAATTGGTAACTCACTAGATAAACACAATCCAGTTGTGTTCTGGCCCACACAGTATAAACACATTCTTTGTAAAGGCAGATAAAATGGATGAGTTTCAGGGTCCCGAATGTAAGTTTCTAGAGGTCAAGAGAGAATTCATCATTTTAAGATGGGAAAAGTCTAGTAGGAGACTCAGGTTTTAAGAAGGATGGTGGGGTGGAGTGGGTGGAGGATCTGAGATTTGGAGTCTTAGTTGGAATTCTTTATACCATAAAATTGGGCAGTATTACTAAAAGACGCTGAGTAAGTTGCAGTGTTCAGGCCTCCATATCTCTAAAATACGCAACTGTGGCCCCATAAATTAGGATCCTTTTCAATATCTAAAGTGTCATGATTTAACAAAACAGTAATTTAACCAAGGAATGTAAGGATTAGAAGACATTGTCCAAAAGCTCTTATTAAATATCCAGAGATTATGAAACTTGATTAATTACAGATTGTTAAAGATTAAAAACTATTCCCTCTGTGTGGAGCAAGTTTCTCGTGGCTGCCTCTTTTTCATCCTCTGGCCTTCTCTGACCACCTGTAGTAAATAGGTTCTCCTTTACCTCTTCTTCCGCTTTCTGTACCCAGTTCATTTCAATGGATGCTATCAGTTTGAATTTGTTTGCTTATGTATTGTCTCTCGTTCCCCCCCACCACCACCACCACCTAGCATTCTAGACTAGAGTAAGCATTTCATGAATAATTTGTGATGAGAATAAATTAATCCTTGCCTTATTTGTGACTTCCTTTTCCTGTCTCTGCAACTGACTAGCACATTTAGGGCTTGAGCATTTTATCTAGCAATGCTTTGCTTCAGTGCCTCCATTTATAAACAAGAAAGCTACCAGAAGAAATGAGATGGTTTCCTAAAATGATGACACTTGGAAAGGTGTTGTGCTCTGGGGAGACGCTGGACTGTGGAGCCAAAGGCCTGTGAGAGTCATTTCCTTGTCTGCAAAATGGAGATTATAATCCCTGCCTCTTTTTACAGGATCAAGTGAGATAATGTGTCAGAAAGTGCTTTGTCGTTTTTAGAATGCTTTACAAATATAAGGTGTTCTAGTATTAAATTCCGGTTTTACAACAGAGCCTGATAATACCATCGTTGGGATCCATGCTGTAGGACTCTAGTAAAAGGACGCCCGTTGGGTATATGTAGTAACCCCTCTTTACGAGTAAAGGCAGACTTGTGTTAGTTATATCAAATGCCATGTTGTAACGGGTTATATTGTGGTGGGGCTTCAGTGTGCCATTAAAGATTGAGGGCTTCAAACAAAGTGTTTGAAGTGGTCACAGAACATAAAATTAGTACCTAAACCTTTTCAGTGGATCCATAGGCCCAAACTACAATTAATAACTTTTATAGAATTTGAGGGAGTTGAAGTAAAACAGGAACTTTCATAGGCTAAGTAAAAGCTACCCAAGAAAAATTACCAAGCAGTAATCCTCCCCACCAAAAGTATATCTGCACTATCCTTAAAAGTTGAGCATAAACTTTACCATTTTAAAGACCCTGACTAGGCAGTGTGGTGTGGTGATGAAGTCGGGACTTGGAAGCCAAACTCCCTGAATTTAATCCTGGCCCTACCACTCATCAGCTGTTGGACACTGAGCAAGTAGCCCTCTGGGCCTCAAGTTCCTCATCTGTAAACGAGGGTAATAATAGTAACAGTCCCATGTTAGGATTGTTGAGAGTATTAAGTAAGTTACTACATGTAAAGCACATAGTGTCTGACCAATGTGTATCTAGTGAATGTCAGCCATTATTCTTGGTTTTGTGCTAGTTGGTTGGGTGCCTTAGGGTTGTTTTCCTTTTTTGACTCATAATGACCCTATGTGACAGACTAAAGCTGCTCCAGAGGGTTTTCTTGGTTCTAATCTTTACAGAAGCACATTACCAGGTCGTTCTGCCTCAGAGCCACTGAGTGGGTTCAAACCACAGCTTTTCACTTAGCAGCTGAGCGCTTAACTGTTTGTGCCACCAGGATTCTTACTGGATTTGTATTGTCACACACAATCTAGGGTCATCCATTGGGTGACTTAAATGCATCTTAAATAAATTTGACATTTTA